AAGACCTCAGCACAACTTCCTATCAAAAAGTATCCACCCACCCGACTCGGTATTGTTTACAATCAAAAAAGGCAGAAAGCCATCTGTCGAAGGCCGAATTAAGGCTAATTGTTGGACTTCGGCTACGACCACGTGGGTGGAGAATACGGCCGAGGAAGGAGGAAAATACAACACCATACAACGATTTGTGGCCCTACTGGATTCTACTGTGGGAAATTCAATAGCAAGTGGGATAAGGGAGGGAAGGACAAGGGGAATCGGTATCGAATTGGGCGCAAATCGTGGCCGGAAACTCATACGCAGCCTCGAGTTTACTCCACACCACGGACTGACGTCATGCCGGACGGTGGTGTGGCCAATTCTAAGGTAAGCATTTCCCTAATTTCCTGTCTTGAATGCTTTTGGTAATGTGTGCCTCGATTGTCTTGCCTAAGGGAGGTAGCTGTGAACAGGCCAAGTTGAAAGTCAAGTTTACCTTCAAGACAACGCTCTTTCAAAGGACAGTAGACCTGCCAAAAACCGATGCAGATGACTAACAAGGAGGAATCCAAAGTCCATACATACTGCGTCCAGGTGACTACCGACGACTCATCTCAAAGAATGCCACAGACGACCCTGTGGAGGTTGTGATGAGATTTTACATATTACAAAAAAAACTTTGTAGTTGTGAGCTAATTTACTGTCATGCTGGTTTAATTTACCCTTTTGGGTTCCTTGGACTCCACCTACACCTCAGATTCACCTCTGTCCATCGTATCACTCACTGAAGGCAATGAAGCGTCTAGACTGACTCAGACATGGCAATAGCATCAGTATTCGTCTTCCAGGGTCATTTTGATGTACCTAAAGGTGATGTCACCTGTCTGACCTGTCATGATACAGATTTTAGAAGTTGACAACCTTGTTTCCAGACCAAAGTCACTTCTACAAGTGAGAAGTCTGCCTGAAACCTTAGCTATGGCCTACTTTTGTCTGATTTTATTATCAATTTTTAATCCCACGTTTATACACTTCAACAGATTTTAAAATTCCACTTTAATAAGGAGGAAATCTGTTCGCCTCGTGGCATTGAAGAATCATTGACAAGAATGCCAACACAAAGTGCTACAATAATAACCAAGCAAAGTCGATGACTTGAACGATAAGTGACACGCAATTGAGCCGCCTACAGAGTAGGCAGTTGATAAGTCCCCTTCCTTCCTGACTGACGTAGTGACTCTGTCTGGAGCATTTACATGGCTTCTTTCGTTACTGCAGTTGGATTGAAAAAGCACCATCCACTTAGGCATCACGGCTGTCGATGGAGAGAGACAGCTGACCCTTGGTGGAGAGAGGTCTGGTTCATTAAAGTCGGAGTCCTGAGCACATCAATCATCACCCTTAATGTCGCTGGATGACAAATCACAATGCCTTTTTAGGTGGACTAAATTAATTTCACTAATGATAATCTATTAATAAACTTGATGTTGAGAGGGGAAAGTCATCCGACAGTCTCATTAGTTATCAACAATCCAAGACTGTCAAAGTTGAAACTGTCTTACGAGGGGTAAAGCACAAATGCAAACAGAAATACATTCTCACCTGTAGAGACAGGTTGAGACATTTAAAGTGCTGAATGGCAGAGAATACTAGTGAGGATGACAGAACTGTCAGGGGCGCTTGCAATGGCCGCCAACCTTCCAGTCTCTCGACGAGCTACTTTCAGTATCGGATTTGCCTACAGGATAGTCAGCTAATTTGTCCCCAAGAAGGGGAACAATCTAGTTAGCGATAAAGCCCTGCTGGATCCGTAAGCCCTATAACGTGATAGTTTGATTGCTACAATGCCAAACTTTCATATCGCTACATTATCTAACCTCTGATGTTCTGCATATCTTTAAACCCTAATTAAGACACATTACATTAGGCTCCATTTTACGAGGGTGCATGAATCAACGAACCATCAGGGAGGTGCCTCCTTTGTGGGAGGAAGGGGAGGGAGGGGCGAATGAGAACAATACCTCCAACTGCACATTATTACTGGGCAGCACAACAAGCTCGCCCCAGCTCCTGGTTGCTAGGCCCTTAGCAGTGTGTGCTTGTCTGTGTGTCCATGAATTAACGAGGTGTAGGTTAGGGGAGGGAGGGAGGGAGAGATGAAGGAAATGAATGGTCTTGCAGCGAACTACAGAACCAACTGTAATGGACAGTCGCGTGTGTGTTTATGTGTGCGTTCCAGTGGTGGGAATTGTGAAAAGCGACTCTCGAACTGAGAGACAGACAGACTAGACTGGGTGATGTTGGAATGGGTTGGGGCAAGATGGCATTAGTGACGACAAGAAGCTCTGTCTAAGCATTAGACAACGTGTGAACGTGTTACCATCGTTAGCGGTAATTGCTGTACCATGGGAAGCCTTGGGATTGTGCATTTTTCCACATACACTGAGAGGATGTAGGTTGACAACAACAATGCATGGCGTGGGATACTTAGTAGCATTGTCTACCATACTAGTGTCTTCCCCATAAAACCGATCCTACTAGAATGAGATCCTGTGCGAGAGCCTTTTGGCCATCACTCAGACAAAGAAGTGCCTCTGGCATTGTGATCTAGGTTAAATAGCTGTTATTTTTTAAAAAAACAAGTCTTTTCCAAAACTGAGGTGGAACAGAGAATCAAAATTCTACTTCTAGCTCCATAAAAAGGTTGCTCTTCAAGCAACTAGACTGATTCAGGGGAAAGTTTTCCGAGAAGAGCAGCTGCCTTGCAACTTATCCAAGATAGCTGTTACACTGAATATGAAAATTATCCTGTAGCATTGACGTCAAGAATGTTGCTTTGATAAGCGGAACAAAGCAGCTCAGCCGATGTCAGAAGTGTGTAAGCCTACGCGTAAAGTTTGGATTAACTCAAAGAACATTTGCTCTCGTTAAAAGTAATACTACTATCTTAACAAAGTAGTAAGTATTAACAACGTGCAAATCTTGGAAAGTGGCCACACAGAATGTGGTCAAATAGGGTCGACCATTAAAGCACTGAATGAAGTGACTGCGGATGAAAGCTGTGATGCTGTGTAAACACGCTCTAATTAAGGCCACTACAAACTCTTGAGCGAGTAGGCTGAACTCGAGGTTGTAATAAAAGCTAAGATAATCTTTCTATTAGCCAAAAATACGTAGTCTGCACTGATATTATGCCTTCCTTTATTTATACGGAAGTCTCGAAAGATACAGGAGTACTTTTGCACGCTGACCATCCAAGTGAGGATAAATGCTACAGTGAGTGCCAAGGATAACAAAGTGGCTTGTAAAATCATCAGGTGGTAATGCCATTTGAATAATTTGTGCTAAAATTTGTTTAGCATTCCGAAGTAGAGGTATGTCAATGGCAGGTAAAAACAAAACTTAATTAAAATTAATTAAGGCAAACACTAAAATGTCTAGCGTGGAGAAGAAACTGAAAATTCGCACTGTTTATTAAAACGAAAACGGTTTAAGGAGAAGCAGAAACCGTACAACAGTTAATAGTTATACACACCGAAAGCAATGGCAATGCAAAACAACGTTGGTGTTAAGAAACAAACTTCTGCATAGTTATCACTATCACTGTCCCAAAAACACCGACATGAGGCTTTAACACCCTGCCCCCTTTGTTCACCAATAATAACTTGAACGAGAAAAGTATAGCGTTTGTATATGGAGTCGTTACGCAATTCATCGCGAATCTTCTCCGAGAGACCTTTGGTTAGATCTCATATTACTCAGTTAGAAAGATAGTTCGATGAATACCTGGCATCTTTTCGTACTCATACTTAATACCAGCCAAGCTTTGCTTCAATATTTCATGCATTACATCACGAACTTTGGATGGTCGAAACCTGTTGCATATTTCAGGCCGTATAACGTAACTCTGAGGATCTGAACCATTGGGAATGACATTACTAGGCTCTTCTTTTATGCTTTTGCTTTCTACAATCGCCCTAGCCATTTGATAGGTTATCGCATTAGCGCTATAGTAACAGGGCATATATTACACTATTTTAACAATATCGCTAAAATATAATGGAAAGAAAAATTAAAACATGAAGTCGATACAACTTTTTCCGTAAATGGGCGACATCTAGATTCAGTATTTGCGCCATAAGTGTGGATTCGCACAGAATTGGAACTTTGCACGAATACAATAGATAAGCAAAAGTATTAGCAACTAAGATTTCGCAGACTCTTGAAAAGATCAAACATCCTCCACTAATGGAAGACCTATTGTGGAAGTTAATAAGTAGCTTAAAGCAATTGTGTGAAACAAAATACCACCCTTTAAGGTGGTTTTACTCGCGGTTTCCCTCTTGGGAAAGACAAAATTATTTTCTGACAAGGATTTTGCAACTTAATTTTAAAATAAATTGTACAGGACCAGTTTTAGTGAAGAACCAGAGTGACCCTCACACTCCTTAGGGCACAATACTACATCGAGTTTATCGAGACCATTATTAAGAAAAGTTGAACGCCACCAACATTGCCAAAATTTGGATCGCAGTGCAAAACACGCATATTTAAACTTAATTTTTAAGTCAAGCACATTAAAGATTTTTTATTTTTGAACTATTGAGCCACCAGATTTTAAATTGCAGATAGTGAAACACAGCATAAACAACGAGGAAAACAAGTTAAGTAGTCAATCACGGGACACGAAAGGAGGTATTTTTAATGGAGGTAATAAATATTCTTGCGCGATATTCCTTGCCACGGTGTAAGTGCATTTGCATTTTTATACGCATTTGTGGTTGACAATAGGGCTATTGACTACAGCTGTAATTTCAATACTATTCTGTTGCTCCTACTGAGATTGTTTTTGCGTCAGTGGATAGAGAGGAACAGTTGAGGAGGACGACAATGCAAGCATCGATGGTGATGTTATATGCGGTGGTGGTTGAACAAAAGAGGCAACAATCCAGAACCAACTCCCTGCCATTCCAAGGGCTACGCTCGCCCAGCTGAGATGGGAGGACACACCATAGTTTTCTTCCAGTGTTTTCCAGTCATTCTAAGCAAAACCGATATAAGCTTTAGCTTTATGCTTTTAAACTCGGCGTAAAATGGGGGCACAACTCACAGCCGGTAGACTTCCTGTCATGCCTTTTATGTCGATGTTGGTAGTGATTGATTCAAGGATTGAGCTGCCCTCGAAAGATATGATCCCCAGTATGGTTAAAATAGCTAAAATAGAAGAGATTTACATTCCGAAAACGCCAATTTACTCAACGTCATAGAGTAGAGCAATGCTAACCTGAAAGCCATAGGAGGTAGCCCGAGATAACTAGGCAGGATTGAGCACTCTGTGCACTAGGTTTGCTCATGCAGTAGCGTACTACCAGCAGATACGAAATACAAGCAAATGTGACGAAAGCTCCCAGCCCAAGCGCGGTTACCTGCAATGCCCAGTCTGTAAGCCTGAGACCTACAAACGGAACATAACAGGCACTTATGTTATTCGTCATCAGACCTCGAATATTCACTACAGTGACACACAAAAGCAAAAAGATTATTTATTTACAGAATGTAAAAGGAAGTAACTTTACTTGGAAAGTTAACTTACGACTTATGCAATCTGCACGTCTCAGCTGCCTTTCTCCACAACTCCCATTTGCAAATATGCCTTGAAAGAAAGATCTTTAATTAGTGATCGGAACTATATAAAGAGGCAGGACTATCTTCCTATTACTTAGCTGTTTTGTCAAGGATGTAAAAATAGCGTCTCGCACTTTTCTGCTGATAATGCTTTAAACGAGTTAAAAGAAGGTTTGCATTAGTTCCGATCTGATGAGGACAATAAGTTCAAACTAAAAAGCTTTCTACGTTGTGTGAAAAGACCAGAGTGCAGTGTACCCAACCCTGTATACTTGTATTCACATGAGTAAATAATTTATGTATAATGCCTTACATTCCCAGTATGGATGCAGGGGACTCGAAATTTCCAGACACTCACTGCCATAGGACCCTAAAAATAATGCGGATAGCATGTGAAGGAAGCAATGGTAACATTAACATTACTGTAAGGGAATGTTAGCAAACAAATGATTATGATTTGTCTTAAAACAGCTTCAACACGTAAAAAAACACCGATTTGGATCACGGTAACTTGAGCGCCCGGATTGTTTTGACTAAGCTGATTGGGCCCAAACGCTTACAACAGCTTACTTCCCCTTACTTACATTATGTCCCAATATTGTACTCTTTTTTTATTTTTATGGAAGGCTATGGACGCTACGTGAACATTGTGGAATGCATACTGCTCTGGTAATCTCACGCGTAGACGACGAGGTGCTAGCGGAGTGAATAGTACACAAGAACTGCAAATAAATGAATAAGCACGCAAGTAAATAGATATGGGCTAAATTAACAATTGGATTCAACACAAATTAAATCCCTTGATTTTTGGGCTTTATTAAAATTCACTAATTAAATGGCTAATGTGCCGTAGTCTCAAATAAATGCTAAAGATCATCACTGCTTCTGTAGAAATACAAATGGAAAGTTGGAACCAAGTTTTGAAACTAAAACAAAAACTCTTGTTAGTCAGAACCAAATGGCTATTTAACAAAGACTGGGACCTTTTTAAATGCAGGGTCGAGGTCATAGTAAATGGGGGAAAGATGCGAGTGCGCTCTACTTATCAATGCCTTTTCCTTCTGGGCCGATTAATGAAAAGAAATAACACCTAATTGTTTCCATAACCAGAATCGATGCGATGAGCACATTAGCGCATCGAAACTTCGGGTCTAACCTGAGAGAACTGGCCTTTGCAGTATATTAAAATGGGATATTTGATTAATTTCAATGCCTCCCTCAAACTTACCCATGCAGTTTTGAAAGAGTCCTCTATTCGAGTAGACTACCGCGCTGGTTTTGCTATATTCCATCCAATGGGGAAGAATGACGGCTGCCAAATTTGTTGCTATGGCTGCGAGGACGCAAAAAGCCCCTAGCGTTACGAGGATAACCCAGAGCTTCCGTGCCGCCCTCATGCTGTGTGACAGTTTAGTGGCCTTCTGAACACACACGAAATGGCATTTGTGCTCGCACATCGTGTGGGCGTGCGCCCGGGTTTCACTCAAAACGCTACCACCCAATAGGAATTGCAGATCTCAGGCTTACTGAGGTGAATAGGTTTTGCACAATTTTTTTAACTCAATAACTGGGATGTTGAAATTAGAAGCCCAGGAATATGTTGGTGGGAATAAACTCAAACGTATGGCAGCTTTAAGTTATAAGTAATTTTTTGGAACCATCTTGAGGTAGCTGCCTAACGCGGAACGTCAAAAATTTACAGGTAAGTGGGGAGACAAGGTCAATGGCTATAGCGAGGAACAGTCTCAGGTGATTTTTTTTAGCATCTGAATGTTTGCTAGGTCTTCCAACTTCGCTGGCTTCCGCTAGACGGCATGGAATCCCGACAACACCAGCTACCTCCTAGCTCCACTCTTAGGCCTCCTCGACGCCAGGGAAGACTTGCAAAGCTACAAAAGAGTTCAATTAAAAAGCTGCGACTCAACAAAGACATTTTCTAAGGCTAGCTGCTGCTTCATTGCAACAAATCTCCGGACTAATACTGCCATAAAGTCGGGAACCTTTTCCAAAGTGCGGATCAAAGTGTTCACATTCGATGGCAAAACTTGCCGTCATACGATCAAAGTAGTAAGAGTGCTAGACCTTTTTCCTTTGTTTACACATTCCCATCACCGAAACGATCCAACAGAATTGCGATGATGATGATAAATTTATCAAAGATAGAGCGATTACTCTCAATGAGCCAAACAAGTAGCTGATTGGTCTCCGCAATCGTTTCATTGCGAAAACCACAGAACCAGTCTCGATTGGCCATCTTTCATTGTCGTTGCTAGTCAACCACCATTTGGTTGTGATTTCATGCCACTGATCTAAAGAGGTAAACAAACTTTAAACAACACAATCTAGGCTGACTAGAGACTCAATACTGTAACAAATAACGAAACAACTGGTCAAGGTCGTCGAAGGCGTTAACGCCTCAAAGAAGAGTACATTGGCAGTGCCAACTCCCACTTGATAATCCGCACTTTCCTCCTAAGCAAGGTTGTTTAAAGATAGGCTGAGTGCTGATCAATTTTCACCTTATTTCAACTTCAATACCCAATAAATGAAAACAGCAATTATTCTCCAGACATTTATTAGAAAAATTAGATGGAATGTTGAAGGTTAATATGAAATGAAATAATTAATTACTAAGAGTGAAAGGAGTGCGTGTAAAAACTTTTCAACCAGCCAATTCAAGGTCAATTGTCTCCAAGGCAGCCTCCACATGGGATCGACGAGCTCCGTCTTGGGCGTCTTGGATGCATTGCTCAAGACTGAAGATGAGGTCACTGGGCATGTCACGAACCAGTAGACGGTCGTTGAGCAGTGCAGCCATACAAACTGCCCAGTAGTTGTGATCAGAGAGTGAATTGCTGGTGCAAAGCTGATTGGCGTGCTCCTCGGACACGCATGGCGTATTTTGAGCAAAAGGGTAATCGTGACAACCGTCTTGAAGTATGTAAGAAGCGTTGGACTCAATAATGAAAGGGGAGGGAGATTTGGTCGTCTAAAAGACAGTAAAGGAGGTAGCAGAACTGTGTGGATACCCTTTCAATCACAAGTCTTAGGCTGTGATCACTGACAGATCAAGTTTGGAACGCCAAAAAACCAAAACCTTTGGAAACCAAGCCACCTCAAACAAGACTGACTTAAGTAAGTTAAGACCGATGAGCCAAACACGATACATTCAGTACCATTCATGGCCTCGAGAGCTTTTGTACACATAATGGAGGGTGACTTTGTGATCATAAAACAACCCACTATCACATGACAGTCAAAATGCACGAATAAGACAAGAGGGCGAGAAGCCAATGGCACCAGAGACCTTAACCTGACGTGATGCATCTTTCACAAAGGAGTAAAGGTCTAGTCACAGCCTCAAAATGCTCCGATTGCGAGTGTGAGGTGGCGAGAGAGGCGCACTTGAGTGGACAACTAAAGTGTTACCCAATGGAAAGTTGACCTTCGAAATGGAGGCCGTCGACGTCACCGTCATCACACACATGTAGCGTTTTAAAGTTAACAAAAAAAAAAAGAGAGAGGAGCTTTCAAATAATATTTACACAATTGTTGTTGCGTTAGTGGTCGACACAGCGCGGTTACTGGGAGACGACATCGTCAAAAGATAAAAACAGAAATGTTGCCACTTTAAGAACAAAAAGAAAAACGGCATGCACATTCTACGATGAAACAGGTTTGCAAGGCACACTCATCAGATCAAAGGCATGGATGAGAGCAGTAATGCAAAAAAGAAAAAAGATTGGCATAAAAAGGAGGTCCAAAGTAAGGGAAGAATGGGAAGAGGGTAAGTGATGATGACGAATGACAGTTTAATTAGCACAAGCCTTCCTTTTGAACCGATGTCGATGCATGGAAAACAAGGGGAGATTTGAGAGACCCCAATTCACCTTCAAACTTGCCGCCTGATAGCCTACGACACATGACGTGAAACAAGAACGCATGTCTCCACTACCTTTCATGCTTTCCCCCTCTCTAATGACAATCTTCCTGATATCCAACTCCTCTCTCACCCTCACACCGCACACGACACACGCACGTCACTGAAACTTGACCCTTCCTTACACCTCATTTCCTCATCTCTTCCTCCTCCCCCTCCTTCTCCTCTACTCAGTCGTTGATGAAGGCACCTCGCGAAGCCATGCCTCTCCCACTCACCTCTTCTGCGTCAAAGTCACCTTAACTGCCACTCTACACACCCTCTCCATCCACCATGCAACCAGTCTGATGCCTACTTATTGCGACGGATGGAGGGGTCGCAATCACATCCACCAAACTGGTTTAGTCAGTACTGCACAGAGTTCGGATTGAGTGAGGCAACAAAGTGGTGAGAAGGAGAACGGGCGCACATCCACGCCCGATTGGCGAATGATTGGGCTTGCTGATCCACCCAGACAAACGTTTGGACGCATTCACCAATTGGCAGACCTTTTGGCATGGCCTGACACCGACCACTGGATGTGCATTGCCAATGCTCCCAACCACCAGTTGAAGTGGTCCCAAATCTCTATGAGAGTTGAGATGTGGCAGAGGCACTGTGATGGAGTACACAGGGTGAATGATGAGGACACTTCTGCCTAACCGCTGTCGTCCACGGTGTTTGTGCTTACGAGGGCAACAAGAAGGAGGCGATTTATTGGCGTCAGCTGTCACATTTGCAGTGAAGCAGTAAATTTGAAGTGTTTGTCCCACCTCTAGACGGTGGGTTGAGTCACTGTTCAGTGACAATGCACAATCACACCCACCTCGAGTGGTGTATCGACATTGGCAATGTTCACCTCGAGCAGGAGGCTTCATCCAAATTGTGGAGGAGGGAAGAGAGGAGTGCTGCCTTCCTCGCACTAGTGCAAGGTAGCAGTGCAAGCGGTTCAGAAGTGTGGATGGAGAAGGTGGCTTGCCTGCTGTCGCATGCATACATGCAGGTGATGTGTGTTGGAGGTTCGAGGCAATCAGCACCAACAATTCCACACGTGAGAGCGACTTACATGAGGTGAATGAGTTGACTCGAGTCAGGATTGGAGCCATGAATGGTGATGGAAATGTGCGTTGGCAATGTGTCCAGCTTCACCAATCATCCATTCATGCTTTTCTCCTCACATCATGATGCCTCAACAAGTGGTTCCTCGTCAGAACTAGGATTTCGAGGTCTTTGCGCTGTCGTCCAAAAACGCTCTGCTAACACGGTGATACTACTACAAGAAGCAATGGTCAGAGAGAAGCTTTCATTTTGTTTTAAAGAGATGTTTTGCATAACTCTTTCACCAGTGACCGTGGGCGTTGCAGAAGACACAGCGAACAAGAAAAATGCAAATGACGCCAAGTTGGCACCGCAACTGCATGCAAATGCGATCAACGCAAGCACGCTAGTGAACGATATAGAAGGCGGGTGTGATTCAGATAGCAGATCTGGAAATGCGATATACCCAAAGGCGCAGTGGAGCGTAAACAAATCCTGTTAACAGAGTGGTAATATTTAGCAAAAAAAAAAAAAAACAAAAGATCTGACAAAAAAAGGAATCCGTGCCTCCTGGGTACGAACAGACATGTGGGAAATGGATTAAGATGGCCTAGACACAAAAATTTATGCAAAGTGGTACGGCATTTTGTGGGAACTTGAACAAGTCACACACACTCCCACGTAAGGTATTGCAGTGCAGTAATACGTCAGACTAGGAGACTTTGTAGCCAAAGGTGGTTCATCAGAGGGAAGCCTCAGGAAGCCTAAAAAGAGTTACATTTAAGAGACATGCTATTTTTTAGAAATCGCTAGTATTTTGCGATTTGGCAGAAATTATTTACTCGCAGTATCATCATACCGCTGCCGACCTATTCAAACCAGCTGGATGATTGGTGAAGCTGGACACATTGCCAACGCACATTTCCATCACCATTCATGGCTCCAATCCTGACTCGAGTCAACTCATTCACCTCATGTAAGTCGCTCTCACGTGTGGAATTGTTGGTGCTGATTGCCTCGAACCTCCAACACACATCACCTGCATGTATGCATGCGACAGCAGGCAAGCCACCTTCTCCATCCACACTTCTGAACCGCTTGCACTGCTACCTTGCACTAGTGCGAGGAAGGCAGCACTCCTCTCTTCCCTCCTCCACAATTTGGATGAAGCCTCCTGCTCGAGGTGAACATTGCCAATGTCGATACACCACTCGAGGTGGGTGTGATTGTGCATTGTCACTGAACAGTGACTCAACCCACCGTCTAGAGGTGGGACAAACACTTCAAATTTACTGCTTCACTGCAAATGTGACAGCTGACGCCAATAAATCGCCTCCTTCTTGTTGCCCTCGTAAGCACAAACACCGTGGACGACAGCGGTTAGGCAGAAGTGTCCTCATCATTCACCCTGTGTACTCCATCACAGTGCCTCTGCCACATCTCAACTCTCACACAGATTTGGGACCACTTCAACTGGTGGTTGGGAGCATTGACAATGCACATCCAGTGGTCGGTGTCAGGCCATGCCAAAAGGTCTGCCAATTGGTGAATGCGTCCAAACGTTTGTCTGGGTGGATCAGCAAGCCCAATCATTCGCCAATCGGGCGTGGATGTGCGCCCGTTCTCCTTCTCACCACTTTGTTGCCTCACTCAATCCGAACTCTGTGCAGTACTGACTAAACCAGTTTGGTGGATGTGATTGCGACCCCTCCATCCGTCGCAATAAGTAGGCATCAGACTGGTTGCATGGTGGATGGAGAGGGTGTGTAGAGTGGCAGTTAAGGTGACTTTGACGCAGAAGAGGTGAGTGGGAGAGGCATGGCTTCGCGAGGTGCCTTCATCAACGACTGAGTAGAGGAGAAGGAGGGGGAGGAGGAGGAGATGAGGAAATGAGGTATAAGGAAGGGTCAAGTTTCAGTGACGTGCGTGTGTCGTGTGCGGTGTGATGGTGAGAGAGGAGTTGGATATCAGGAAGGTTGTCATTAGAGAGGGGGAAAGCATGAAAGGTAGTGGAGACATGCGTTCTTGTTTCACATCATGTGTCGTAGGCTACCAGACACTAGATTTGAAGGCGATTAAGGTTATATTTCTTCTTTTGGCGTCTCTCCTATGCCTCGTACGAAAGTGTGTGGAGTTTTATGATGCTTTTAATCGGATTTTCTTTGCTACCTAACTTCAATGATGGGCAAAACCCAAACCCTTACGAGTGGAAACGTTTGCATTCTCAGGTAGGTTGAGCGATGGAGTCAGGTACTATCTCAACCTTGCAATCACTTTCTGTACTCCCTTACATTGATTAAGGATGGGGTGATCATACGATTACGCAAAGGTCAGAATGGAGGGTTAGGGCTCCGTCACTATGAACGTGGGGTTCACAGGAAATTCATGATGGACTTAGAAAGAATTTCAGAGGGTAAAGCACCGGAAAAGCATTCGTAAGCTACCTTACATCGGTATTAACACTGTTTAAATGAAATCGATTATCCATTACCAGTACTACTTATCCAACAAAATAAGTAGCTACCACCTAAGAATGAATCCTACAAGTTTTAAAGAGCTCGAACGAGTTGTAAGGTTTTGTGATTAATGTACCACAAATGCCAAAAATGTATAATAGATCATTCAAAAGCAGCCATAAATTATGTAACAATTACAAAAAAATTATCAAGCTATGCAACGAGTTAATTAGAAGTCATGAGCTTCAAAAGAGCAAGCCGCTGCAAGTCAAAAGAAATGCAAACAGCATAACAGTAGACTCGTTCTGACCTATTACTAATGGGTGTTTTTATTTACCCGTCCAGGAGTAAAGGGAGTCATTAAACTAGCTGGAATGTGGACATGAAAACTGCGCATAGATTGCATCAAAGTCAAAGCATGCAGGCTCTCTTGCATCTCAGGCGATGTGTGTGAACGACGCGGCGGGACAGAAATTTAATTCCATCAAAGAGAGGGGCAAAGGTAGTCTCCAAGATGGCTTACCTCACGCAAATCCACAGCTATCAGGTGTCGCGATTGGATCACACTGACATGATATGTGAAGACATCAACTCCAAAAACATCCCAACGATAGTCACCGAGGTAGAGAGCAAAATCAGCACTCTCCACATCTCCCAAACTGGAATTCGAAGCAAGGCTTACGGGCAGTTGGAAGAGACTCCTCAATATTTGCAGTCTCTGTTTTACAGGTGCCTAAAACAGAATTTGAAAAATTGTTTTTCTTTGCTTAAGGTACAGAAAAATGTAGACCGAAAACAGGAGTCGCCAAAGCCAACACCTCTGAAAGCAGAGGTCCCATTCATGCATTCCCCACCGCTACTCATCAAATCTCGAGACGTCTTCCAGTATGCATTTTAAATGCATAAAATATCCGGTTGAATATGGGGCCAACGTACAAGGCTAAACTGAGAGAGAGATTTTGCCGTTCCCTTTTCCAAAGTCATGCGACCACAGGCTCCCAATTGGATGGGAAAGGGCCAACCCTCGGAGGCGGGGAAGGTGTGCGCGATAACCGCGTGCGGGTTAATGGCTATGTTGAAGAGAAGCGTCAACTCGTCGAAGCGTAGCCATCGACTTTGAGGCGGGAGAGTGGGATTGGTTGAACGCTCACGATATCTGATGGTAGAGGTGGAAAATGAAGAGAAATTTAGCTCTCTCCGCTTTGGAGGATTTTGTGATAAAAAAAGCATTCACATCATTCGAGGCGCATGACTAAGAGGAGAATTCAGGAGATATGGAGCAAGCAATAGCTAATACACGACCAAAATCAAAGCTCCTCTTCCCCAAAATCTAACTACACACGGCAATTTGAACCCCATTCGAGTCCAAGAGATGTAGCCCACCTGGACTTAATGAGTTTTAGGAGACGTGGTGAAGCACATCGCGTGAAAGCCGACGCGGAGCGTAGCAGGCGCACATCGATAGGATCGGCAGTTCCAGCTCCCGTAGTGGGCATCCAACGCCAGATCGAAAGATGTGGAACACAGCGCGGTTGGGGTGATCCCTCCTGTAAGTCGTCCGTTCTTTGGCGTCGACACACCTCGACGTCGACATCCTCTGAAGTGGCCGGAAATTGAAGACGACGGAGGACGGCTGGCTTCCTTTCCAACATGCCTTGAAGGGTAACAATATGAAATAAGTCCGTTTTGATGGCTGTTCTGTAATTAAAGCCAATGCTAGTACTTCAAACATCCCGTTTGGGAAGGTGAGTAGAGATGAGGGACCAAACTTTCCAGAAGCATCTTTAGTGAAGAAGGGTCCTCGCTACTCTTCTTCTTCTTCTTCTTCTTCTTCTTTAAATTCATCACTAATCACGTAAAACAAAGGAACAAAAGGAGCAAAGAGCTCAGTCGTGGCGCAGATCCAATTGAAAGAAGTCTCACGCGAATTAGACCCCGAATAATTTAACTGTGCAGTGTTCGCAAAGTCGCCAGGTGTCAGGACACTGATGACGAACAATGGAAGAATAGGATCTGTAGAACAGTGTCCAGGGAGGCCCCACTTCGATAACTTCACATTTGATGCCTTGTTTCGATGCGTAAATAATCTCCAAGCATGCTACCCAAACATCATAGCTGCTTGTCAAATGGACGAAGGGCTCATCGCATCAACATTTAAGTGATGTAGCACCATATAGTCTTGCATTTTGATCTCCTAGTAATATTTTATTAAAAGCAAGTAACTCTAATTCGTTTCCGTTAGCAAAAACAAGATGAAAAAGTGCGTCTGATATGCCAATTAAATACTATGCTCCGATATGAATGATGCCTCTCCAAACCTCGCCATCGCGTTTTTCCCAATTTAAGGGTCCAACGTTAACAACTTAGTGGTCTAAATAAATGTTTGATCAGGAATAACAGTTGCCCAAAAGCAGACTAAGAAATAAATGGAGAATCGCCATGTTTTCCAATAGTGGAAAATCACATTAGAAACAAACTGTTGGTCAAAATAGCAAAAAACTATGACGCTCAATGTGATAAAGCTGGATCCAAAACCAGTAAAAATAATTTACTACTTATTTATTATAAGTACAATAAGCCAATCAAAATAAGTGCACATACCAAATCTAAACAACTAATCTCTTACAAAGGTAAAAAGAATGATATATGATATTATACCGTCGAAATCAGGATCGCCTCTAATTTCCAATTGACTGTTGGGTCGCAAGCGCATATTTGCTTAGCCATTTAGCAAACATTTTCACACCAATATTCACGCGACTAACCCAAGTCCACATCAATGCGATCACTGAGCTTCTCAAAGTCGCTAGCGTGAATCGGTCGACTGCCATAGAAGGTGGCCAGCCGGACATCCCCTCTAAAGAAAGCAGGACACGCCGATTGGCCGAAACACGAGGGACATTTTGCAACCTCCAAACGATCAATATCAATCGGCTTCAACTTTGATTGGGAGAATAGGTAGATTCCAACCAATAAGCCCGTGATAAAGCCAGCAGTGGAGATGTAGAACCAAGGAGAGAGTACGAGCACTTGGCACCGCCTGTGACGTTTTATAGGTGGATCTACGCCCCTATAAACCACTGTAGATTGGGACGCTTCGCAGGCCTGCAAAAGAAGACCAGAAATAGAAAAAAACACGACTGTACTAAAAATTGCTGAAGAATTTACAAAGTTATTTGACTTGTTGGATTACATGACTCTTCCACCACCAGGATTGGACGCGCTAGAACGGCACTTAGATTGGTTGCCCGGCATTGGCGCACAGTCGCCACATCCCGAATAAACGATACGAAGTAAAGCATCGCTAGACTCTCAAAATGGACGCTACAAATTATTTACACCACTAGAGAAAGCACTTAAAATGTCCAAACTTACTCCACCCCTGTGTTTAAGCGCCCTCAAAGCGTGAATGCAACCTGTAATCGAAGTTTATAGATAGAACTGCAACATGACTCAATTTAGGGAATACCAAAGCTTGCGACTAACGATTAAGCATTCACAGTCCTACATAGTGCCTACAAATCCTACTCGTGTAAACCAAAACCTCTTAGATAGGACAAAACACGCTACTCATTACCTGAGTGAGTAGTGCTGAGTGCAGAACACAGGCATTAGTGCGCGGCTGTGAAAGCGTCTGAACGAGTATCCGATGGCATAGAGAAGACAGCATAATTAGACAAATAGTTTAATGTCGTAAGGCATGCTGATTTGCTGTTTTGTAGAATAATACAATCTGCATTACAATGATGTGGAAGGAGGGATGGGAGAGGGGAGTAAATGCAGTGTACAAAAATGTGGAAGGCCTTAAAATTGTCTCCTTTCCCAGGTGGGATCGAGGAGTTTTGAAAATCTACGAGGACGCGAGGTACTAAAAAAAGAAAGAAAAGGCATAGATAAAGCCAGCGTGTGTCCTCCTAACGCACCCATACCTTAAGTATTTTATCGGTCCGATATGGTATCGAAAGGAATCAAAAGCCCATCCAAATCCACGCCATACTTCCGTTATGTCGCCTCAGTTGATGAGTCAAGCAAATAGTTTTGTCAGTGCGGTTTTAAATTTGATTTTATCAGATAAAGGAAAAAAAAACGACACGAACAGAAACCGAAGATTATTCACCTTGCCTGTCGACACCAGGAGTTTTGCTAACAAGCGATCTAAACTCCAGAAAAGCTTCAAACGCCACATGGGAGACCATCGAAACCGCCAACATGTTTCCATAAATAATTCAAGTTTTTTTTTCATTTTTAAGGAAGTAAAAATGAGTAGTATCGCTGAGATCATGTACCACATTGGTGAGATCAGCTGAGCACAACTTAAGGCCTCGACTACACGACTAGTGGCGATTAATCAGAGGCGAGAACAAAAAAATCTTGGGTTTGTTTCGACTATCCAGCAAGAGGGCAACCTACCTCTTCAATAACACTGTTGATAAACTGCTTCTTGGGAGAAAGGTCAATGTCTTTGTACTGCTCAGAAACCTAGAAGATAAAAAACCTCACTTCGTCTATTGTATTCGATCACCGCGATCGAAAAAATAAAGGATCAGTATTATAACGATCGAGATGTTAACACAACCTCCATTTTTAACTCATAAAAACATAAAAACCTAACAAAAAAGTTATGATGAACAATGCCTTATCAGACGAAAAATCCGATAAGCCAAGAGAGAACACTAAAACTAAGACACATAACAGAGAAAGGCAGAATTATCCTAGTTGACTCACAGAATTTCGAACGACCTTCATGGAAACCTCGTTGAGATTGGCAGTCTTCAAGATTTCTAAGACCTTTGTTTTAAGCTCTTCGTCAGTGGGGAAGACCACCGAATGTGACGCAATTTTTGATGACAGCTCGTCGTCATTATCATTAGCAGTGCCCTCCTCAGCATTGTCAGCCCCCTTCACCTGCTTTGGTTCTTTCATCCCATCGTTGGCGCTTTTTACATCTGCTTCCACGTCTTCCTCTTCTTTGGCAGAGCTGTTAGCATCACCATCATCAACTCCATCGTCTTCATCACTTTCAATAACTTGCTTCCTCCTCCGCTTTGCTTTCCGTGGTGACTTGGTCTTTCTCGCAACAACTGTAGATTTTCTTTTCTTCACGACTTTCTTCCCTGGAGCGTAATCCACATCCGACTTTCCTGACTCCTCCTCCTCTTCTTCCTCATATTCATCCTCCTCATCGACTCTCGGTTCTGCGACATGTTCAGACTCTTCTTCTTCGCCTTTTGCATCGCCATCAGAGAGGTCACCGAGTTCGTCACTTTCCGTCTCCCCTTCCTAAAAAATATCAACGATAAAGATAAGAGGACCTAAGATGGGACAGCAACTGAGTTGAACTCGCCTTCACATTCTTTTTTGGCTTTTGTAATGTGTCTTCCTTATCACTCTCTTCCAACTTGGAGAGGGACTTGCGACCAGCACCAGATCTGCGTTTGGAAGGAGGTAACTTTCCCTTGTATTTCACTGCATCTGCCTCGGGCTTGAGGAGGAACTCGAACAGACGTGCAACGATCTGGGCTCGTGTACCAGACACTTCAAGGTGAAGCACACGAAGAGCATTCTGCACTTCCTTCACTGACTTCCTATGGGTGAATTAAAAGGAATAGACGCGAGCACCATAAATTTGCCAATGAGATAAGATTCGTATTAAAAGTTCGTATGACAGACCGAGATGGAACAACACTACTGTCAACCTGATCCCATGTGCATTAAGATTTAAAGTAATTTCATATTGATACCCTCTAAAGTGATCTCAGAGACAACTCCAATGCCAGTCCAAAGACATTAAGGCTGAGTTGGGGACATCTCACACACCATAAGGCACGTCGTGCAGTTTCATGAGAAGTGTGCGTCGCCTGTAGAATATGACTATTCACACTTATTATCTCCCTTCAAACGGTTTAGGTTGCTTACTCGCGAATTACACGTTTACTAGTTCATAAATAGGCATTAAATCAACTAGCGCACCACAGAAATAAAGACCTAACCTGCGCCAAACTAATTGCTGTCGTTGTTTTAGAAGTTTTTGTTTTAATACTTTGACAAATAAAATCAAACACAGAGGATAACTGTGATGTAAGTCTTCGCCATCAACAACTTTGCTACTAATTGCACCATTTTGACAAAATGACTATCTCGCAATCACAAAAGACATTTAGATCAAATGCCTTTATAGTGTAAATGCACTTTCTAGTGCGTCAAATAGTTGTTAATACCGGAAAGTCAAAAACTTCAAACGAAATTTCGATTTGAAAAATAGATCTAACTTCAACCAGAATTCGCAACAGCAAACAGAGATCAGTCAAAAGAAAAGATGACTGGAAATGAGAAATATAGATGCTACGATCCCCAAAAAGGGAGCAGTTGCATAACAGTTGAATAAAATCAAAAGTTAAACAATTCCCGCGTTATCATATCTAAGTCGTGGATGCCCCCAGAGTTATCAGTCCTCATAAAAACTCCTTGAAAGGGGAAGGGAGAGATTATGTGGTAAATACCCACTCATTGAAGATCGCTACCACTGCTCGAATAAAACCACCACAGAGGCCTGTGCGAGGTAGCAGTCACCCAAATGTTTCCAACGAAGCCCACCAAGTGTACTATCACCATCAAAATGGAAAAGATTCTCGTTATGATGCAGCTTGACTACAGTACTTCTGCTTCCGACATGGGTGTAGTTTTAGTGCATCGGAATGACTTTAGAACTGGAGAAATCACTTAAGCCGATAAAGAACCCTGAGTTCCACCTTGAAAACGTGGTACGTAGAAACGATGCAGCACCAAATCACAGCAAAGCAGGCATCGGAAGTATTAATTTAAATATCTTGATCTCCAAACACGGACTAGCGTATCGAGGGCACTCTGGATTAAGGTTACAGCCCTGTTATCTGCTCCTGTGCATATGGCTACTCAGGCCCAGCATTTCAATAAGTTCGCTGAAGTGCAATAAATTATCTTACTAATAACAAACAGATTTAGCAGATCCCCAAATCCTTACCTACTGAGGATCTGCACACGTTTCCCATATTCTTCTGAGTCACGATCAAAAGAAAATCCACTGAATTTACGCAAGTTTGATCGAACCTCAGCAACACTACCAATGCGACCAAAGCAGATATGATGAAGAGTTTTTAAATCCATGGGTTTGCACCCACGAATGGACGACTCGATTAGAGGAATATCGCCTAGTGGCGTGCCGGAACCTTTACCGAATTGGGAAGCCACTGCGTCATGGGCCTTCTCCTTTGCAGCTTGCTCATCTGCATAGCGTTTGCTCAAAGTATCAGAGAATCGTTGAACCTGTTTTCGGATGCGAACCTGACGCGTCTCGCTATCACCACCGTCAGCACTGGTTTGACCACCTTTCTCTGCCTTTTGCTGCTGTTGATTATCCTTAACTGTCTCAGTTTCACTTGGCTTGTCATCCTTAACCTCTTCTACATGCTTGAGAAGCGACTGCTCCGTGGAGGGAGCGACATTTTCCGAGTTCTCTTTCACTTCGGCTTCCATTGTGCTAGACATGGCAAGCGCAAAAGACAACAGCAAAGTCCGATGGTGAGTGTTGGGAAACCACAAAGACAACAATTATGAAGAGCAAAATAGCTTCAAAAGTTTGACTATATGGCGTGTCAAAAATGTTGCTATTAGCAAATCCTCATCAACAAAGGATAAACAACATACTCATTAAACACGCGAACACTGCAAACACAAAAGCTACAAAGGAATAGTAAAGATAAAGCGATTAAAAAAATAAAAACTAGAATCTCATGGTCGCTAAGCCATGTCATCATCAGAAACAATTCAAAGTGAACAAAAATGATGAACAACACAACTAACACAAGACATAGATACACTCACTTCTGGACAGTAAAAAACACACAAAATAGCTTCGAAATCGGGTGCAACCCACCGTATCTATGCTTTGATAAGCTAGAGAATCACCAAACACCGAAAGCAAAAGCTTAAAGATTCTATTTTGAAAGACTCCGCTATTATGAGAAGCCTTTCCAACGAATGCATTTAAACTTAGTCCAAAAATGTCCATCATTTTTTAATTATTTTGAAACCAAATGCAGCTTCCTGCACCAAAGTGTAAGTTATTTTTCAAAAGCATCTTTAAAGTTGTTAACAAATGTGCCTAACACTAGAAGAGATCTATTCAACTACTCTTATGAATATATTTTGCTATCTATATACTATTCTCGTAATACACTGCTTTTTCTAATTGTAATTAGTAGTCAGCTAAAGTCAGTTGTTGTTGTTATTCTATCCACTGCATTATTTATGAAAAACACAAGGTCAAAGTGTATACCGTAAGGATGGAAAATAATATCTATGATATCACTCGAAATTAAAAATATATAAGAAGTTGTAAGTTGGGGGAAATCTATGTATTATATGGAAAAAGAGGTGATCAGGTTTTCCTTGGCTTGAAGTCCATCTCACGCCTACAAGGGCTAAACTAATACCCAAGTAACCGAAAGACACCAGGTGGCCATATAAACAAAGCATTACAACTACACGTAATGCATTTTTCGAGAATAGATCATGGTACATTTGTGTGTTCAACTATTAGAAAGTTATCGCAACTCTTCCGCTTCCTTCTGCAACTTGAGTATTACCTGAGCACCTTAATATTCTGCTGCTTAAGGGATTATTTATTCTACGTCATAGTGATTATAAGGTATTTTTGGACGAGAAGGGTAAATATTTCAATTTTTACTTCAGACATTTATTGGCGACCTTTTTTTTAAGTAGGGCGAAACAATCAAAATGACAAATGATTTTATTGGTAAAAGGGCATGAGCTTTTCTCTCTTGCGCCGATTTCGACGTCATGGGATAGCTTTGTAGATAGTGAAAACCGCGCCTAGAAATGGCTGTGTATATTATATGCAAATTTGCGTCATTGTCACGACACCTTCTCTTACATCTACAGGAGGTTTCCGACAAAACGTGATTCTTGAGGCTAATAGGGTAAGTTGTTGAGCAGCGGATAAGTTGGATGTGCTGCAACCTTTCCATTGTTTTCTATTTCCTTTCAATTTTGACACTCTTGAGATGGAGTAGTTTTGGTGAAGGCATCATTGAATGAGGGATAAGTGGGTGTGATCGTGCCTAAAAAAGGATCGTTTAGCGTGGGGTTGATTGTTAATTCGAACAATGGCCTACAACTAAGTAGGTTTGGTGAAATGGTAGCCAACCAAAGAAATAAGGAACAGCGACAGCACTTTAAGGAGCCGTAGAAGTGTTAATGAAGTGGATTTATAAACTGCGCGGAGCTCAAAGTGCTCCCATGTTGCACCACAGCCCCACTTTCCCCGGCGGTGTCGTGTGCTATGCACCCGATTGAGCGGCTTGATTACTGTTGACACTTGCAAATCGAAGAAAACGGCTCCTCCCAATGACTGCTCTTAAGTGAAGTCATTCCGTTAAACTTAGTCAGGGCATCAGTTCTGGTGTGCCGAGGGCAGGAGACTAAAAATGAATGGGATGGTTGTTATTTCAAGAACTGATAATTTCAGGCGTTTCAATACAAACTTAAAACAAAAAGCGCTTGGCTACAAATGTTTGACAGACGTTGCTGAGCTTCTGCTTACAGTGATTGAAAATTTTTCTCACAATCTTTCGTCGCTGCTCTTTTGTGGTCCAAAAAATGACCAAGTGGTAAAGTGGAATGCAATTCGCACACTCTTTTCGGTGTGTGGATTTTGGCATTGTAGGAGCAAGGTGTGGCGTTGCGGCTCTCATAACGACGACATACCATGGCATTTCCATTTCTCTGTTTGACCGTATGCAAATATCGTAGTCATCAAAACCACACTGACTAAAATTTACATAACCGCATCGTTATTCAGTGGGCGGAAGTCGATAGGTCCATTGCTCACCGTTTGGAGGCCACGACAACGTCAATGCTATCATGAATGAGGCGTAGACGATGGCATTACTGGCATAGTCGCTCTCTACAATCAAGATATCATTGGCAGATCTACTACTTAATTACAAACTGGCGCAAATAAGTACCATGAAATGCGGGTTCTTCCTTTTTAGTGGTGCATTTGTAGGTGCATTAATAACACTATTGACAAACCTAAAACAACCTCCGAGTGAGGTGTGAGCATGTCCTAGAACCTTGGGGCACCTCTGTAGGAACCTCATCAACAAGGATTCGTGGCTGATGCGCCCTGGATTGGAGTCATTCCTACACGCCCTCATCCACACCGCTCACAATTTTTCACCCCTTTGAGATTTATCATCTGAGTGCTTAAAGCTGGGCGTCGTGCATTACGAACGATTATGTCGGTACAGTTACCAGTGTAACCCCTTCAGACATCTCTAAAGATACTAGAAACATGTAACCTTTAGGCAGAATATGTATTGTAGCTTAGAGGTACTGGCGTGGTTGGGAGGCCGATCTGTCAGGCAAATGTACAATCGCCGAGCAGCTAATTTACCTCATCGCTAAAAGTGAGAGCTAAATCAAAGCAGTTTAAGGTTTTCTTGGTCAAGAAAGTCGAAGAACCGGGATTCTTTAAGTGAGCCGCATTCACAACATCAAACAAATCAGTCCTGTGACCTCTTACCAAAGTTGTGCATAGCCTGGTTGAGAAGAAGAAATAATACGTCGTTTGCGCGCCTAAATTGTGGTCTTAATAAAGGCATCGCTGAGACTCCCTGCCATCGTACCTTCGCCAGATGGACTGGTCTTCGAGCCAGGGTATAAATTCCTTTTCCTACCGTAAGTTGACAACAAATACTCCACCCGAGTGCTACCTCTCCTCCACCTTTATAGAAGTTTCGGGACGATGCCACATATTTTGTTATAATTACTTGGCTTGATGCACCTTCTAGGAGACCTCAAAGACCTACTAACTCCTTTTAGCCTTATGCGCCTCCACAAGCACTGCTTAATAACGAAAGGTGTTTAGACGTCTTTATTTCATCAAGAAAACAAACAGACAAATTCCTAACTCCGAATTTTGAAATCAACAGTCAAAATTTGGTGACATAAGGAAAAGGCGGACTTCAGGCCGCTGCTAATTACGTGTGAATCGGGAATACGCAGATCACGGTGTATGCATCCTGCGCACCCATCCACCTACAAGTGGGACCGGTGTGCCAACGGCAGCCTCCTATTGGCTGATGCTTGAAACACAACTACACACTCATTCGCACGTACGCACTCACGCACCGAACTCAACCTACGTGGTCATTTGGCCTCCTGCTTTTCGCTCACGTCGCCTTGCGTTGCCGTTTGTTGATCATTTCGTTCCTACTAGAGGTGAGTTACTGATTTGTATGGCAATTTTAAATTTTGTTTTGTTATTGTGCGCCAATTTTATAGGTTGCGAAATAATGTTGACCAATGAGTGGAGAGACTGGCTATAGCTCATTGTTTTTCCAACCCTCAAATTTGAGTATTAAATACGTTTTCGACTTGTGCAATTATAGTGAACAAATAGGTGCAGACTAAGGCGAGAAATGCGGTGGGCATGGCAGACTTTTGGGTGTGAAGTGGTTGTAGTGCTATCAACTTTTCAACAAATATTCGTAGGAAGCTCACGTTTTTACTTAAAATGATGCTAAACGACTCAAAGTACTGACTTAAAGCTGACAATTTGCTTACTACTGCTGGAGCTTTAAGCTCAGGGTGAAACAGTGGTCGTTGAAGTCGCAGTCACTTCGCGAAAGTTATTGAGGAATTCAATTAGTTCGCCACCGTGACTGGGTTGTTTACTACTTCTTAGTGACGATGTGTCAAGTTGGCCACGCATTAATTTAGAAAAGGCATCTTTAGCATCTGGAAAGCAGTCACCCCGGGAACGATTGGTTCGGATCTCCTCATTGTGTAGCCTTCTCTTGGGAAATAGCCACAAGCTGGAAGTAGAGGGTGTGATGAACCATTGTCGTCGACCACTTACACCTACAAAGGAAAGTGATAGGACTGCTATGGTTACACACACACCTCTTTGCACTATGGGAGCGATTCCGATTTGTTCCGTATTTTCCATGCTTGTCCAGCCTAAGATTTCACTGGTATCTACATAATGAAGTATACTTTTTGCTTTCAAGGATGTTGTCAGAGGCATCAGCACTGGGCAAATATCGTCTGTGCCCAAATTGGGCTATAAAAGGTGTGTTTTTTGTCGGTCTTGGTCTCCAGGCCGCGACTCTTGCTCTTGCCATCACAATGCTCGGTTTGGGAGGTTGGATACGGGTAGAGATTGACGTGCCACAACCGGTCGCGGATCGGTAAGTGTGTAATTATGGGGAAAGGTACTCTACTAAACTTCGGTGTACTTTTCACTATGGCCTTGTAGCTGTATATAAGAGCGATTTAGAAGGAAATTTTGGTGTTGGGTCTTGTTGAATTTCGTGACAACGATAAGGCGATTTTAGCCATTTGATTGCGTCAAGGCTTTTATCTGGTTCTTAAGCAAGCTTGTGGGTGTTGAGCTGGTGATTTGCTTAACCCACATTACCGCATGAGTAAGAGTGGAGGAGCCGAAAGCAGTGCTGCCTTGAACCACTAACTTGGAAAGTTGTTTTTCATTCTGTCATTTCAATTTGTTTTTACCAACTTGTGGTCTTTTTCCCTGACATGAGACTTCAAAGTAGTTATTATGCACACGAATCTGGCCACATTGCTTGAATCCTCACAATCAGTGATTGCAAACTGACATGAATGAGTGAGTGGGTGAAGGATTTGACACCTATCTCACCTTCCACGAGGTTGCTTAAAGAAGCTGGTTATTTTTTTTTCTATTTTAGCTATGGAATTAGCCGAATTGAGGGCTTATTACAGGAGTGCTATGTGGAGTCTGGATCAGGTAACTCATCCTTTTACCACGCCCTATAGAATCGTTTACAACTGTTTCCTTGTTCTACAGGACCATTATCAACGGACAGTCCTTTCGTCACCTTCGATCATTGCTATATGAAGGATTTTGGGCAATACATTGACCCTATATATACTCCACATCAAAGAGGTGCGTGCCTCCACAGCAAAACCAAAATTACAACAAAATTTTGTGATGCAGTGCGTTTTTGATTGAGCTCCCCTCTCCCTGGAAAGGAGCTAAGATGCACCATCATATTGTGCATCGCTTGAAAGATTTTTTTGTAGGTTAAGGTCCGTGTAGGATCCTAATTTTGGATCTTTACTAGGCGCAAGGTGATTGGTTAATTGACTCGATTGTGTGCAAGCGATGAATAGCAATGCACTTTATTGGTTTTCTCAACTTTTAGCCATAGCAGTGACAGGCGCTGTCATGATTGGCTTGGCACTGCTTGGCTCGGCTCTTGACCTTGTAACAGGTCTTCATTTGGCCCTCATCTGGTTTCGAGCGCCGTACGATTCATTCTACGTCCGAGTGTATCGCCTGCTTGTCGGTGGCATTGCAGCTGTAACATGTAAGACTTCCCTGTCGGGTGCATGCTACTCACAACAAATTTAGCAGCATTGTACAACTCAATTGGAATGAAGGATGTGCTTCAAAATAAGTCTACATAATCTTAGGGCGAGCTGTGTTTCCTTAAGTGAGCAAAGTAATGCAGATAGGATTCGGACTCCAGCAATTTTAAACAATCATATGTCCCTTTTAGCACCAATAATATGGCTTCTCAAGTGAGTTAACATCCCTTTTTTTAAATTGTTCTAGCATGCTTCTTTTTCGTATCAATGATCACATTTCATGTTGGACTTCGACTGAGTGTCCAAAGGATTCCATATGTGAGTTTCTTCGCCTTTTTAACTACTCCTTCTCTCCTCGCCCACACTAACTTTTGACTTTAAAAGCTCCTGTTTGTGACAATTGTGCAGCCGTTTCGAGCAAAATAATATGCCATCAAAATAGCTATTTACATTACTGAGGAGAAAAAATTACAGGTAGAATTCGATTAAAATGCTACCTTTATCTGCAAAATCATTATGCAGCCATTTTGACATCTAAACCAGTAATGCGGCTTATTACTTGGTCTGTTAAAACCTTTACCACCAAAGGCCAAGTTTCCTTACGTCTAACTTTGCTTAGGATCAAGATTTTAATTGGCTTTCGTGACCTTCGTCAGTTTTGGGCATGACATCTCTCTTAACATCATCGTCCCTGAGGCGATGGTGAAATGTACAGCGTTGGGTTTGTAAACCAGTTCTGTTACTTTTTGACCGCGATCATAGAATGAAAGCATCTGCTGGTTAGCCTTCAGTTCTTAAGCTGAAGGAGTAGGTGCCTCCTAGAAGATTATAAATGTGGGCGGCAAAAGCAGAACAGATTCTATCTCACCACAGCCGACTATAGGACAAGAATACTTCCTCTCCTAGAGTGGAATCCCAATATTTAGTTGTTAGTACGTCCACCTCGTAATCTACACGGTGGCATATACTCCCTGAGGTAAACCGAAAGTAGGTCTAACGTTTGGAAGTTTAGGTGGGACTCGACTTTGTAGTGTGCTCCTATTCCAACTCAATTCACATAGACTGTATTACTTTTGACTTGGGAATGGCGGTTGGACCACCGCAAATGCGCACATTTGAAGTTGAAGTTGACAATAAACACTGTTGTTTTATAAATAGGAATACCTGACTTCGACGATACTGGAACCTGACAAAGGTTACTACGTAGCCTGGACATGTATTGGAGCCAGTGTTTTGGCTGCCTGGGTCATCCTCTCTTCGACGTGCCTATGGGCAATGGATTATGTTAATTGTCGATCTCTGGCTGCTGCCTTTCATCCCACTTGTGCTCAACGGGCCTCAACCTTGTCAATGACAAATGGTATTCGCAACTCAATCTACAGTCTCAACGATGGGGTGGTGAGCCCTAAACAAACTAAAAAATTCAACTAAACAAACCTTTTCCTTGAGTATTACCTGTGGCTTAAGTATCAAAGAATGGGAAAGCTGGGTTGGTAGGAATCACCGTCATTTTATTTGCACAGTTGATTGGAAGCTTAGTTTTATAAATCATGGGTGAATTGGTTCCTCTGATCCATTGTCTCTGTTCCATTTACTCTTTGTCACCCCTTCCAGTAAGATATGTAAGAATTAGCATCAAATCATGCGTATATCTGTTGTTCAAATCTATTTTCCCTTCTTAATCTTCTCCTGGCATCCGCATCCCCAACATCTATAGTATGCAGATTTGAGCCAATCTAAGGAGTGGATGCCTACTTATGATGAAATGAACCTAAATTTGCAATAAATTATCTGAAAGTAGCCTTAAATGGTTGTTATAGTGGAAAAAGAGGAAAGTTATGTGAGTAGGTTGAGTAAACGGACACATGCAGCCTCATACTGTTTTAATGCATTCGCAGTGGTCAGTACAGGATCCTCCGACGCTGCCACGGTACTACACTAGCACCTACGGCGACGGTAGTGAAATTCGCAACCAAATCGCTGAGCCCGAGCCAGGCGTTAAGACAGGGTCAACAGATGATTCTATGAAGGAGGAATCGAAGAGGAAAGAGAGTAAAACATGAGCACGTACAAGTTACCGCGCCGCACAAAATGTTACTGTTCAAGTGTGTACGTCCGATTACGGTGCTGGAAGTGTGCGGTCCATCATTTCTCCAACTCACTATATGATACCATTACTTATCTGGCGTTCTTTATGTGATTGTGCTATTAAATTGATTATGCTCACCAACGGCATTTCCTGTATGCATGAATTAGAACGGAAGTGGACGGATTTTGCGGCAACGCTAGCTTCTTCAAATCTAAGCTCAGAATTAGGCGGACGTGATTTAGCCCCAAATCCTCCTAGGAGTTGACTACATTTAGTACGCGTTGATTTGTTCTAGAAAGAAGTTTAGATGCAAATAATAATCGAAAAAATATTGTATGGGGCTGGTAACAACCAGGGCGTTTCACGTTACTCTGATGTAGTGCACTGCGTATCCTACTTTCCGCGTTTTTTCTTTAAAGCACAAAATCAATGGTGGCACATCTCTTGTTGTTAACTAATTGAATCGAATTCTCAGCCTTATTTTGAAAAAAATTATAGCTTTTTTATACAAATATCTATAAAACAGATAGTATTTCATATGCGTTCAGAGCAACCCGCTACGTTTGAAGCTCGGAATTGGAGGACGACTTTTCAAGTCGTTTATTGAATAAGCAATGGGCTATGAACTGCCGTTAACAGTAGTTACAGTTTTCTGGGCTTTAGTAGGATGTGGAGTGCCATTGATTATACCAAAGGGTCCAAATAGGAGGTAAATTGGCGTGTTTCGTGCACTACTTTCTATAGTCTTATTCAGACAATGATAATTATGACATCTATTTGTTGTTATTTGTTGTAAGCTATCTCGTTTTCACACGCGCACTTTAGTTGGCTCATGACTTTCCTTGCCCAGTTAAATCCACTATTTGGTCCGCAACTTACGAATGAGACAATTCGCATAGTTCGCAAGGAGTGGTCGGTAAGGTAACTTTACGCTGTAGTTCACTCTGACAAAGCCTGTTGCTTGAGATCCTAGATCGCCGTAATGTGTCGGTCCATCTTCGGTCATTGCATTTGTGTTGTTTCTGCAAAATTCCTAAAATTGTTTCACTTCCGTTGCATAATGTCTTTACTTGTGTCTTGCACCACCAATGCTTTTGTTTTCTTTTAATAAATCTTGTTGTTCTTTTCATTTGCGCTGTGCCATTTTTGATATCAACGGGATTTGAACCGCCTAAATAAGTTTGGAGGCTCAGATGTGCGAAATCCTTTGCATCGTTTCTTTTGCATGATTGTTATCCGTTACTTTGAAGAGACTTCAAAATTACTTATTGTTTCGCAAAGTACTTCTCCAAGAAGTACTTAGGTCGGCTAAGTGCTTTTTCTTAGCCTGTACTGCTTAAGGTAAAATCACCCAGCTAGCTGCGTAACGTCGATTACTCTTCCATTCGTCCGTTTTCATTTTCCATCTATTTTTTGCTGGCTGGTTATCGACCCAGCGGACAGGATTTCCATGGTCCTGTTTGGTCATTATGGCGGCTTAGTAATCGAGCAATCATCGAAAGTTAGCAAGGTCCTTTTTGAGGTTAAATTGCGCTTGCATGTCAGCATCAGAGCTGATATTTAGAACGTTTTTTTAGGGTAGCGTTGGACTACAGCTGTCAAGTGTTTGACAATTCTAAATGTTCTTACCAGATTATCTGAAGATGTCTAAGTGGGAGGTCTCCAACTCCGGTGGACATTGTTGCATTGTGTTCCTTGTTCTTTTTAATCCCTTCTTTTAAACATACATCAAAGGATGGGTGAGGATACTGAAACCGCTTACAAGATTGTTGTATCAGCAAGAAGATAGTCAGTTGCAACAGTCTGGCGTCAAACGGTGCAGCGCTCCATTTTTTGAGCTCATTCTCAGTTTTTCTAAGTGCAAGCACCGGACTAAATTTTACCGTGAACAGGGTCTGAAGTGACGGCGAGCATGATGACGAGCCTGAAACTTATCGAAGATTCAGGTGGCCGGGCGGATTCACCTGAGCGCCTTGAGTCAATTTCAATGCATAGAACAAGTAAATGTATGAAATTCCTTAAAATGTGAGTTACTTGCAATGCATAACAACTTTCTAAAGGTACTCAAACTTATTTCATTTTTTGTTTCTATCGCACCTCGCCTCCAGAAGTCTAGAAGCTAGTGGTCCCTTATTTAAATCCCATTTACCTTCTTGTCTAACTCTTACCCAGCATATGGTCATGTTTGAGTACTGGTGCGGAGACAGAGCGATATGGGTCACTTGAAATGTTAGAGCATGGAATGATGAGACAATCTCCTCTCCTCTTCTACCAGAAAATGCACCCAATTTTCCAACGATCGCCTCTACTGAGGTGAGGCATTAGCAGTTGAGCTTGTTAGTTACAATAGGATCTTACAAATTACCAATCGGTAAAGTTGTTTCTCTGTCAGTTTGATTGATCGACTCCACTTGCAGTTGTTTAGTCTCCAGGATATGAACACTTTGTGGGCACGACTGTTTTAGCCCCACTTATTTGCCTACCCTTTGAATGCAAGTCACGAGTTTAGCCAATAAACTATCTCAATAATGCAAGGAGCAACAAACTAGCAGACGTTGAAACACACATATCACTTATTATAAGGATGCAAGTGAGAGACACTTGTCCATCCGGCTAGTTCCCATGACTTATTCAATCAGTGTAGGCGGGATTCATTTGATCCATCACGTACATTAAACAGCACAAGATGCCTGTTTTTCCCCATTACACGTGCAGTTGTTTTGAGTGATTCAGCAGCGCTAGCGTCTAATTTTTTCCTGCGCCATTCCACCATCGTATGTTCTCCGTGCATGGTCAGTAAACAACAGATTATAACTTCAATTTTCCAAGACAAATTCAAACTGTCAAAATAACCGGAGTTGGAGGACATAGGAAAGACCGGTGCCCCAATGTACTGACGAGTAATTCGTTCACCAAATCATTTCGATGAGGTATGGCTAAATCCACAAACTCATTTGTTCCATTATCTGTATTTTCAGGCAAAGTTCAGCGTCCAAAATGTTTTCATCAATTGTTGTAGCTAATAGGAGTCTATGAGGCGACGAGACATTTGTGTAGGCTTAAGCGACATTAACAGCCGCCCACATCATCAGCATTGAAGCTAAGCCGCACAGCCACCGTCTACTCCCTGTATCTCGTTCCGAGACAGCGCTATCCTTATCGTCCACTTAAGGTCATTTTATCGCCACTACAGAGCACCGAACTATCCTTGGGTAGCCCGGAAAACGCTAATAGCGAGACTCGGACCTTACAAGTCTCAAGGTTTCCACCACAGAGGCTGAACAGGAAAAGACTAAGTCCTTTAACGCAACTAAACACTTGATTTTACGACAAGTTGAGTTAGCTTTGTCCGCATCGTATTTTGCCATTGTTACTGAGTGCCAAGAGTTTCGTTGATATTAATGTCATCATTTTTAGACAGTACAGATGGAGGCAGCGAGATCATCTACATTTTTTACCTGCTGGCAAATTCTCCATTCTGCCTCCCTGGTGCACTCGAACCAACAGGATATATGGCGCTACAAATGTTAGGGCGGTTCATTGTACAAAGCAACAGGTAAATAAATATCGAAACTCTAAGACAAAAGTTTAAGCGGTGGCTTATGTGCCCTAATACACTGTACACCAGTCGGCGCCTGGGGGTCATCTTTAATCCATTCTACATCGCAGAAACCAACCGACTCCAGCGTCATGGCGTAGGCCAGAACGTCAGGCCGAGCATAGCGCATCCAACCCCACCGCATGAGCCGATTAAGGTGACGTGGATTGAAGGTAGTCACCACCACTCCACCAGGTCGCAGAACTCGCAACACCTCCTCCAGCGCCTCTTCCAACGACGGCCAAAAGTAGAAGGAGTCGACGTGAAAGCAGGCGTCCACACTGGCATTTTGAAGCGGTATGCTTTGAGCACTACCATGGTGAAGGACGACCCGCTCCGCCTTGACAAAGGAACTGAGACGGCTAGAAAAGGAAAGACGAGGAACCACAGACAACGGCAAACTAAATAAGCAGCACTTCCTCTGCCTAAGTTGGTGTTTCATACATTAATGTCGTGTATGAATTGTCAAGAGAAATTTATGGCATTTTCCATTCTTGAAGGTGAGTTCATGGCCAAAATTGTGCCACATGAAGCACTAAATCAAGGTAGGGAGACTAAAAACATTTACTACATTCATCTCAGGCCACGAGGCCCACCCAAACCGCCTTTGAAAGGTTGAAAACGATGACATGAAACAATGAGAGTCAAAGGAGAGGAGGGTACATCCAAAGGTCATAAACTGTTCAGTAAAAAAGGATGACAACAAGTGTACCTTAGGTGTGAAGACGAAAGTTGGTACAGTTGATACTTGATGAAGTGAAATGCTCATGAAGCCCAAGCAATGCAACAGGATGGGTGCAACTATTTGACTCAAATGATATCTGCAAGGCAAACCAACTCAAACACTGGATACATTGACCATAAAATGTGTTTAAAGTATGGTAATGATTCCAGTCCCAACCGGCCTTAAACAGTAGCGAAAAATGAAAGGACAAATTTCTATCAAAATTCTGCATTTCATATCTCCATCTAGGTTATCGTGATCATCTTAGCATCGTCAAAAGCCTTTATTGTGGGAAAGGCAAATTATGACGTGATTGAGGCTGCGTTTTGTCTCTCTGATCCATCGCAATCGCCCTAGAGAAGACGAGGAACCAAAAACAGCTGACATCGCAAAAGGCAGCCCAACAGCCACTGCATCACAGGACAGGGAGTCGCCTTACGCCTTTGACAGTCGAACCATCTCCATGGAGGTGTCAAGGCCATGTACGATACCGTCTTTATCGAGGGGTGTAGAGACCTTGAGAGGAGCAAGACCGAGGCGTGCGAGCCACTGGGGTCCAAAGATGCGACCCGGCAGATTAAATCGTAGGTACGAGATGGTGAGCGGGGCGACACGTTTTAACGCATAGTAAATTCCGACACCCAGACCACAGCCCACATCCAATACACAGTGACCTGGTCTGTACGGCGAGAAGGAAGAGATTTCGTTGATACGCGAATATCTGACTGTTTCAAAGCAAATATTATCAATAGTTTGATTATCAGAAAATGTTTTCAGGCCGTGTTGTTTTGGTCGCTAATTCTCGCATGTATACACACATCAATCAAAATTGTCAAAATTGAACCTCATGCATTTGGTCATACAAGGCCGGTCAGAGGTCTCCGAAGTCACAGCACCCACAGGTGTGCACACAGATGACAACTATGCGAAACGGGGACACATAGCTCCGTGGCGCGCTTGCTGAGTAGACGTGAATGAGCAGGACAAATTAGCCATAATGGACACGCAGCAATTGACTGATAACTAGTTTTGCATTTTACATAATATCCATGCCTATTTCTTGACAAGAGCGTAGGTAAACAAATGCACAAGTATTTTACCCACTTGAGATCACACTTTTCCACTGCATACCGATTTAGCGGACGGTTGAAAAGACGGAAGACAAATATTTTTAGAAAGGCTGAGGGTAGATTCATATTGGGGGACTTGAGAGCCCTTGCAAATGCAGCTGATATCACGTTCGGCATAGCGGAGAGTGGGCTGAAACTTCAGAAAGAAAAACACTAGACAACGGCGGTTAATGCTATGCGAATTTGAGTCCTGATAGCTCGATTAGTGACGTTGTTCTGACACACAACGTGTGACAAAAAGTAAGAGGGTAGTGACAAGAGCACTTTCATGCTCTTCACTCTATGCTTTAAGCATGCGCAATAAACAAAAGAACAAGTATGAAACAGTTTACGACGATCGAGCAGGTAGACAGGCGAAGAGCACATACGGACACGAGGTGACTGTCAAAACTGGTGCGTCCCCGACCCTCGAATAGGGAAGGTCTAGACGAACTACTGATCACGAAGCTGTGTAGAAGATCACCTGAGAGCTTAGAGTTTGCTGACTTTTAATGTTGTGGTTGACAGATCATCGAACCTTCTATGACGCCTAGCCCACCCAAATCTTAAGTTCCCCACAAAACGTCCGGTTTCGCTCATTTCCTAAAATTGATCAAGCTTCACCGCACCTACTCCCGTTACCATGGCACCTAGAGCTCAAATGAGTGATTTGGTTCTGAAATTGAAACCGTTGTTTAGAGGGGAATTCCTCAAACCGTTGACCCAGACTACGTAAGCTAGGGATGTTCCCACAATTTTATGCGTCAAACAACTGGGTCATGACATCGGCTGAACACATTCCCAAACATGGAATTCCTTCCCACAACTAATAGCTAGTGCAAAATGCCAATACGAAATGCAAATGGTTATGATAGTGGCTCTTGAGCAAATCGTTTGAGGAAATCGAATGTTCTACAACTAAAACTTGACAAATTGATAAATGTAAATTAGCATTGACTGTATGCAAATGTTACGACTTAGAATTGCCAACACTAGTTCTTGCGCAAAACTACACAACACAATTTTCGCGAGGCTTCAATTATCCTGTCAGCATTGGTCTTGGCATAAGTAGTGAATATCGTGCCTTCGACACGACATAAGCACTCCCTTCTAACCATATCTATCCTGAAAACAGAAGTACGCAACCAGGTCACTCTCGAATGCCAGTAGTCATGAGGGCTGATAAACACAAGACGAAGAGCATGATTATCAAAAACCAATTTAGTGCGAAGACACCAACACAAGCACGCACACATGCGCACAGACAGTTTCAGAATAAAACAAAAACGAAGACGGTAGGGCAACAAACAGGATTTATTTTGCAAAGCGGTTTTCAGAAACGCCATTATCATCGTCAATGCACTACCTCATCGGCCTTAACTAATTGCATAAGCATGGATGAGGATTAAGATCCAATGAGAAGTGCGGGGAGGACAAAGGACAAGGAGGAAAAGGGATTCAACCGCAATGCAACTTTTAAGGGCATAAGGATTTTAACCTCCCATGGTTCAAGCCAATTCAACGCAAGGTGTCTTGGAAAATTCAGGCTTCACCTAAAACATGGACGAAAAGCTCACTGACCTTACTGAGTACATAAAAAGTGATTGACAGAAATGCACCCACTTAGCGGAAAATAATCAATTTGGAAATGTTCAAAATCGCGAATACACAAACAGAACAGAGGTTAATGATGTTAATTTACCTTAAAGGCGCACCCAAAAGCTGGAAAAATCCACTCAGATCTCTCAAGTAGACGATCACGACTTTGACGCCAAATTGAGAGACCGGAATTAGCATCTCCGCGAAAATCGGAAGGAAAGTAGCTGCCATGGAAGACACCAGTTCGGGCAGCGTCCTCCTCGTCGGCAAAAATCGATCCCGTGATAGCAATTGATACAGGAGTTTTGGGCACCTCGTCACCAAAGGAGTCATGAGGTGTGATGATACCTTTTACAAAGACTGTCACCTGTTGATCCATCAGCCCGGGAGTGCCAATAACAGAAAGCTAAAACGAGTAAATCGTGCAAAATAACCAAAGCGATCAAAGCATAGAGAAAATGAAAACCCACGTTCTCATCGAATTCAAATGGAACAGAGTCATCCATGAAGTCGTGTTGAATGAAAACATTCCCGGGCTTTTGAATGTCGTGACCAACAATAACCATCTCTGCTTTAGTGAATAAACTGAGGCATCCGACGTGTGTAGCTCTTCCATCGGTGCAGATAACATACTTGACCAATGATGGGTCAGCGACTCCGTGTTTTTTAAGAGCTTCGATCAGGGCCGGACCATCCCAAGGTGAGCCCGGGTTTATCACCATGGTTCCACACGGACCTCGTACCAGAACTGTGTTACACTGACGCCTAATATATCCATCCTCCCCATTTTCTTCAAAACCTTCACGTAGCAGAGTCACCTCATACGTGTCCAAAGACATCAGTTTCTCCAAACACTAAAATGCTTCCAGAAAGTTATCGAAACGATGGGCTAGATGTTTCCTTAACTAGTAGTCGGTACAGCCAATCAGATTCCAGTGCATCGTCACAAATTTGGAAAGATGTTTATCCTTTAGTAATGGCGAGTCGAAAGACTAAAAATATAAGTACTTTCCATAAGTGAATTGTACATTCACGCTCGCTATTGAACGCCTACAAAATTTGATTGCAAAAACTTTAAGTGGATTTGTATGACGGGATCCAACAACTGCCATGTTCTTATCGGGCATAATTACATACCTTTGCACGCTCTTTTAAACAATTGCATCCATTGTCTAAGAACAAATCATGATCCAAGACCGCCTTGATGGCGTGATAAAACAGGTGGGCCAAACGACATGGCGATGAAGTCTGTGTACTCCATGCAGGTTCAAGGGCGATTCTAATCGCCTGTAATTGAAATCGACGGTAAGTCATGAGGTATTGCACACAAGCACATTATTATGGACGTTTACGGGTGTAATGAATGTTATGCGTTTAAATGACTCTTGAAGGTGAAGTGTAGGGTCTCATTTAGAACAGTGTGCTCAAGGCATCCACCGAGGAGTGCTCTTTTTTAATAAGTGGGTCTGACCTTTCATACACTTTCGTATTCGGTGTAAATCCCAAGTAATGCCTATTGGAATCAATCTTATGAATGACCTTTCCAGAGTGTCCCAGGGAGGCGAGGCCCGAATGGGTTCTAGTGGCTATCTGTATAACTGATGGAAGCTTTGGTATTTATCTTGCCATTGTTTGTGTGAGCTGGTCTCTGGGTTAACCAAAGTCTATTTCTTCGTCTACCGAATTGGAAGTCTCGAGGCGCTACAGCAATAGTTCCATGCCTTGGCCAATGGTGTCGAGTGTGCACAATTGAATCCTCAATTTTTCTGCAATTTTAGTTGACCTCTGGCCATTCAACATTCCAACCCACTTCTCTTCTTCTTATACTTGCGCCTTACTCCGACATCATTTTTTTTTACCAGCAAAGAGGTTCTAAGACGCTGCATTTTTTAGACGGTAAAAGAACTTGACATTTGATCTAGTCAACCCATTGGCTGTAGAGTGGTAACGCGAATGAAGTGCTTATGCCTCATTTGGGAGCCTCTCCGATTATTTCACAACAAAGACAGAGCGACCTCTACCTTCAACGATTACACAATTGTACGCGCAGAAAAGCCATCAACAAAAGAATGGGATACCTCTCATAACTAATCTGGCTCTTTTCACTTTTAGAGCTCCCGATATTGTGTCTGTCAATGTATGTTGTCGGTGGCATTACACCGGAACCCGTCGACATGGGGTTACCAAATCTCGTTGTCCCTCTTACGAACCTGTTTTAGCCCTAGAAACCATTGATTCAGAGCGGAGCCTTGGGTCTTGAGACCCGTTTTCCGACCGAACAAAACTTAAGACCAAGTTAAAGCTGCTGAGTGGAATCGAATGGGGCTGGCTGATGCGGCTGTCTTGTAGGTAGCACCAATTGCGATGCAATGTCTAATGCGGAAACTTTATCGAGGAGAGCGACGGATTGGTATTTTAAAAAGGGTGAGTAGCCATGTAATGCTTTGTATACTGGCTTTTTTACCATATTGCCTCTATCCTGTGGTCTAAGTGACTGGTTTAAATATGTTTTCAACCCGTGTAGTATGTCTTTTGCTGTTCATGAGGAATTATCCGGAAGCTATGGTGGTTATTCCAAGGATAGTGTAATAGTTTGGTGTATAAACTACCTCTAGCATTCGTCTTGCCAGTAGTTGGGTAAGCTTGCTTTCGAATCAAGCCAAAGCAATCCACCATGCCTAACGCCTTCTACCATATGCGAAACGCCTTATGCGGTCGCATAATTCCTTGTATTACCAAATGGGAAGTCTTTGTTTATTTTGCCACTTGGGTGAATGACTGTCATCTTTCTCTTGCCGTGTAGGCTGACTTTCGGGCCAGGTCATATCCTCAATTCTACTCTCTCTGTCTGAGAAATACTAGGATTTCAGGCTGGTTGCATTGAGAAGCGGACTCGAAGCTGTTTCCACGTTGTGATAAATGTGCTAATGGTGTGTATTTACTTGGCCTGGAACAACCTCTAACATACACACAGCGAAAGAACTGCGAACAATGTCTGCGAGTGGTATCAACCCTATTTTCGTGTTCCACAGGCAAGCGTTTAACAACTAAAGCGTCATCGCTGCAAACCATTTGAAAAAGTTTGATTTAGAAGTTTTCTCTTCACATCTGAGCGTAGATACTGAAGGTGACTGCAATACTTTGTTTATGTGACCATCGGGTGTTTGACGGTCACTCTAGTATTCGTTTTGCTCTTGTGTGAGTGTGCTAGTCTTTGGACCAAGCCAGGGTCCTATCTCTTCTCCCCTTAGAGCACATGCAGTTTACCCAACGCGATGCCTTCTACTACCTGGTGGGAAGTCTCGAAGCCCTACATTGGTGACAGCGGAGAACGAAATCGAATTAGTTTTACCAACTTATGTCCTAGTATCCACCGTTTTCGACATGTATCTGTGGTGCAGAGAATGCGCATTTGCATCAGATCAGAGATCTGAACTGCTCACAAAAAAAGGATTTGAAATAATGTCTGCGTCTAGCTTTACCTCCGTGTTCCACAGACAAGCTATTAACAACTGCAACGACACCGCTGTGAGCCATCTGAAAACGTTTCATATCGAAATTCTCTTTACTAATCCACGTATAGATGCCGAAGGTGATAATACGACGACACTCTTTCCACAATGAATATATGGTCTCATCTCCTCGGTTAAAAATCTGTTTCAGGTCAGTATTTCATAGCCTATTCGTAGACACTATTGATAGTCGACAGAAATTACTAGCTACGTTTCAGTTGAAGCCGCTGAGGAGACCAAGTACTAATCCGCAGCTGGCTTGTGGGTATTTCTTTGTGACATCGGATATGTTATGATGACTGGCGTGGGAGATGGACAGTTTAATACTTTCTTTATACGACCACCCGTTTTGCGGTTGCTTTGGTAGTAATTTGACCCCTGTACGCATGGAACCTTTGAGCCAAGCGCAAACTTGATCCTTTCTTCGCATCGTAGAATGCATGCATGATGACCAACTTTCTAGCTGGTAAGAAAGTCACGAGGAGCTACAGTGACAGAACGCAAAATGTTCTCCCTACCGCACAGCGTTAGATCCTGTTTTCCCAGTTATGCATCTGTCTTTGACCAATATTTAGCATCTAAACCTGAACGCAGCTGATGGTAAGCGGAAGTTCCAATTCTGGCTCTTGTTTTAAGGGCAGAAGTAGTTATGTATCGCATTGATTCCGCGGAGAAGGTGAGGTACATTTGTGCACTCACGAGTAATACATTAAAAATGTTGTTTTAAACGACGTTGTGGGTTAGGGTAGGGTATGAAAGTGAAAGTCGTACTGGAGGTGTCCACTGACGCTACTTAGGCCCTGGTTTTGGTTTGATTGTTTCTCTGCTTTGATACGGTTGCTTTCACTTTCTCAGGATACCAAATAGAACGTTCGTAAGCAGACTGTCTTCTGAGGAATCGTTAGGGGGGGACTTGGGTGACGACGAAATTGGAGCTGTCACGAGACCTCTAATTTGGTGGCAAATAAGATTAAGAAGGGCTAAAATGCATACTATTCAAGGAGAAATGGGGAAAAGCATTAACTGACATGTAGACAATCAAATGAGCAATTCGCTACAGCGTCCTCACATGTTCGTTAGAGCTGACAAGTAGCACTGCAATAATATGTTTATGTGACCGTCTGTATATCTAGCATTTACTTTGGTATTCTTTTTGTCCTACAACGCGAGAGCTGGCCTTCAAATAATATAAAAAAACCCGACGCCTTCTTCTCTTAAAATACTTTTATTCAAAAAATGGTAGTCTCTTATTCTACCTGGGGGAAATCTCAGAGCAATAAAATCGCAGCTATCTTAAGGATGGACCATTGCAGCCCCGAATGCCTTGCGTTAGTTGAAGTAAGAGATGCAGCAAAAGGAGCATCCAAGGTATCGTTCAAGAAAAGAGAGAGATTAGCATGCATTGTTCATGTGACTGTAATATATACTAGTTTGTTTAAGTGGACTTTGATAAGAGAGAGGCGGAAACAAGTTGGAAAAGCGAATCACGTGCACGGAGACGGTGATGAGTCTCTCTCCACTTGATATTTCCTTTTCGGCTCATCTGCATTCTAATCCCCATTCTTCCCGTAACAAATGCCACATAAATCATCTGCAGCCAACCCTCTCTTAAAGTCCGAAGTTCAAGGGCAGGAGGGTAGGCAGCAGCTCCTATACTGGTGGCAGCGCCGGTCGACATCCCTCCCTTCAAAGAAGGCACTGATTTCGATGACTGGCTTTTCTTTATAAAGGCAGAGCTCGAACTCTACGAACCTGCACGGAGAGTGCAATTGCTACTCCGTGCCTTGCCCTACGAACTAGGTCGGGAAGTAAAGGATGCGGGTGTCACGCTTTCCTCAGATATGGAAGAGTGCTGTGAAGTTCTTGTCAAATTGACATCCCTTTAGAAGGAAGAATTTTTTGGCTTCAGACTTTTCCACCGGTTGCAAAAACTGGGAGAGAGTGATGAAGACTTTGCGGGGAATCTCCAGTCATTAGTCAAACAAGCATTCAAGGATTGCTGTCCACTGCGGGTTGCCTAATGGATAGCTGCCCAGTTCAAAAGGGATGAGGACTAGCATATTGAGCCGCCTCATTGATGCGGCACTAGCCAAGCGCCAGAAGTTACAACTCTCAACCGATTTCAGGGCCCGCATTTGCCTACTAGCGGGCAAAAGCGTGCGCTCCGAAGCGACCCACCAATGCAAAGTAATGCACAAATATCTTTGTCTTGTCTCATTCGGAATGCGGAGGTCGCTACTTGGTCTCTGACAGTACACCATAACAAGATTAGGCCATATACGGGTCCTCCCCCAGTAGGTTACAAAGACAAAATCTATACGTTATCAGAAAAGGGGCAGCCG